ATGAGATGTATAAAATATGATGATACATTTTTATTGAAAACTATATAGGCAAAAAAAAAAAAAGAGCATGAGCAGAATCCTGATGGAAAAGGTTACTAATTTCATTTATTCATGCTGTGAAAATATGCATCATCTCCATCTGAAATTGAAAGAGAAGGTTCCAGGGAGACCTTATAGTGGCCTTCCAATACTTAAAGGAGGCTTATATAAAAGAGGAGGAGAGACTTTTTATAAGGGCAGATAGTGATACGACAAGGGGGAACGGGTTCAAACAGAAAGAGGGGAAATTTAGATTAGGTGTTAGGACAAAAATCTTTACTCAGAAGGTGGTGAGGCACAGGAACAGGTTGCCCAGAGAGGTTGTGGACGCCCTGTCCCTGGCAGTGTTCAAGGCCAGGTTGGATGGGGCCCTGAGCAACCTGGTGTAGTGGGTGGCGTCCCTGCCCACGGCAGGGGGGCTGGAGTTAGATGATATTTAAGGTCCCTTCCAGCCCAAGCCATTCTATGATTCTATGAAATAGATAAATTTGCTTACTTAGCCTACTCCAAAAAAAAGATAAATTTTCAAGAATTGCAGCTCTACCTGAGGACGTAGTTTGATCTTTTACACAGTTTGATTAAAAATCTACAGAGAATTAATTATAGCTAACCGTGTGAAGCAAAAGGATGGTTTTCAGTGAAGGTTTCTTGAGACATTGTAATTAATTAATACAGACTGTGCGATGTTACCAGGTAACCTGCATTGTTTTGAGAGCTAAGACTGAAGGCCAATTTTCATCAATTACTTGAAGCATGATACCAAATAAAATAATATTTTTGAGATGAGCATTACTGCTTAATGCATTAGCAACAACTGGCTGAGCACTAAACTATGCACTTACTCTGAATGGGTATATGCGTTAATACGACAGTTTGAACATTACAGAGCCAGTCAGATGGACAAGATCACACACAAGCTAATATTGGAGTATTTCAGAAGCCAGCATAACTGGAATTTCTGTAAAAGTTTTTGCATGTTTTGTAATGTGTTCCTTCAGTCCCTGGGTAATCTGCAATAATATACTGAAGGATTTCCGTGGGACAATTCTGTCGGAGTTAAGATACATAAAATTACAAGAACGTTCATGAGGTTTGTCAGGTTTAGGGTTTTTTTCCTACTCTGTAGCTGTCTCTGCTCCCTAAGCTCTTGTAATTTAACATTAAGAAGAGCTACTAAAGCCCATTGCCTATCAGAGCAATCACAGATGTGGGGAAATCACTGTTAAGACTGACATTTAATCCTGACTGCTTTATGCTCCTTATCTCACACAGACCTGTAATATCCAAGTGTGTTCTTAAGCTCCTTCCTAGTCTGTAATTATTCTTTTGGCTCTAGCATGTAACAGCAGACTAAGACTATCTCCAGTTCTCTGAGTCATGTTTTAAACACAAACCTCAGCCTCTGTTTTCAGTTCATTTGATACCCATGCACGACTTGTATGAGGGAGAGTTCAGGTTGCACATTTGAGCGTGTCTCTTGAAGCAGCTGTTCCTTATGGTGAATTTTTGTTCTCTGCCAGTGTGTGCCCTAAAACCGTACTGGGAATCCCTGCCAGAACTGCATAAATTCAGTGAAGGCTGAAGTGGGAGTGCATGGTGAAAATGTGGAAGTATGGACTTGCGTGTGAGATGGAGGAACCGACCTATACGTGGACTACTAAAGTCCCTCTCGCGTACACGTATGCTCTTATGTACCTGCTTTCCTCCCCAGCCCGCTAATCTGTGAGGTTAATGTGTGTATCATACAGACAAGGAGGTTAAAAAGAATTTCTTACGTATCACACACTTCTGGGTTTGTCATATGTGCCAGATATGTGACGGTGAACTTGACTTTTAAAAATAAAACCCCAAACCATTATTTCTTTCTAAATGTTATGAAAACCTCATTTGCCACACTTATTGTTTTAGTTCATAGTAAAGGTAAATTATATAGAACATAAAAAAAGAGACGTTATCAAATTGTACCATTCCTGAACTTGTACCTTCTTCCTGTCCCTTAAGGTTACAAGAGCATCACTAATGCTTTTTGCCTCCATTTTGTCCAGTCCTTTCCTTTTTGACTACTGCTTGGCACTGAGTGAATATTTTCATTGGACCTTTTAGAATGTCGTTATTTTATCCTGAACATTAACATTACTAGGAGGCCATTTTTTTATAGACAAAATCACAATTGTTTTCTTTCCCCCCACATAACACTTCATATTGGTCCCGTGTTCTGTGTTTAGGTATAGATTTACATACAGCTTAGGTCTTCCATATGATTGTAAAATAATAAATCTAGGCAAAAAGCTGTATGAGCTGAAACTTATAAGAAAGAAGGAAATAAATAATGTAATCAGCCCATAGCCATTAATCTGTGGCTTTTAAGACTGACCGTGTGATGTAAGACTTCTTAAAATGTTTTGAAAGACAGGATAATTAAAGGCATGGAAGTAAAGGATGTAACATAATTTGTCATTTGTATTGAATGTATTAATTAAGCAATTTATTAGAACTTAGTATGCTGTGGGCTGGTAGCGTTTGGCCTTCACATTAGATTTCACAACAGAGACGTAGTTATTGAGGACCTTGAGTCATGGCAGTGAGAGGGTGCTCCTTGGCAATAAGTACCATTAAAACATTTGCTGGGAAGCCAGCAAAACAATAACATGGGGAATGTAGTGGAAACAGGAGCAGTTATTTACAAAGTCGTTTTGAGGGACACACTGGTAATTGGTAGATCCTGTAAAGGGTTTTTTCTTTAATGATACCACTTCTTAAGATTTTAAATATTTTTGCCTACTCTTAGATATATTGATGTTAACTTTTTCCTTTATTATATTTGAAGATTTGCTCTTACCACATCTTTGGTACATTTTGTTTGTATTAGCTAGTTGCAACCTAGTTTGTATTTTATTCTCATTAGATTCATTCTTTAATAGTTCCACGTTTTCCCATTTTCATCACTGAAAGTGTAAAGAATTACATGGGATCATCTCATTATTTGTCTTTCCTGATCCTAAAACGACCATGAGTCACCATTCTCATGCATGAAAAATGCAAAGGGGCACCTCAGAAGAGGTAATTCCAGTAAAGACAAGACCTATTAGGATTCTCATATTCCCTGGCACTACTGAACACACTTCTGTGCTCAAAAAACCACCCCAAACTGGAGCAGC